ACAAGCTTTGAAGGACCAAGAATGTATTCTGATTAAGTTTTAAAAAAAGAGTCTGGGAACAACTTATTCATGATTATTTTATAATCATTCTTTAGGTGTTTTTGTTCCTACCTAAACACTTTTATTGCTATGCTTTTGTTATCTGTTTAATGAATATATTCCCTATTTTTTGAAAAGTAAAAATAATATGTATCATTTATCTCATGTACCTTCTTTATCCACCCTAAAAATGAATAGGAGAAATGTGTGATACATTTTATTTGTTTTGAACTTAAAATGACGAAAGACTAACCGATAACATAGAAGATCCCATCATTACTTTTTAAAAGTTGATAAAGGTAGGTAGAAAATGATAAGAAAAGCATGACAAGATATTGATATTGTAGAGTTACAAAAAGGGGAAGGGATATTGTTGAGAAAAAATGCAATGACCAAACGTTAAAGATAGATTGGTCTTATAGCAATTGTTGAGAATTTTGGTGATCAAAGTAAAAAAGGCAAGAGATTTTAAAAACCTTTTACCATAATTGGAAATGAATAATTTGATTGCATTAATTTAGAGCATTTGGTATATGTATTCATGAAGGGTTAAAATCACAAGTTGTAGTAAAAACAAAGAATTTTCATTCCTTAATGAAAAATAAATTTTTTGCCTTTATAAAAAGATAACAATCAAAGATAAGACTTCAATCCTCAAATGTGAAAATTTTGTATTTTTTCAAAGACAAGATTTCAAATTTAAAAGAATATAAGAATTTTAAAATTGTGGAACCTCCGCTTAATGGAGCTTTTTTAAAGTTGTTAAATATCTACTTAGAGGAGCATTCATTATCAAGATTCGTAAGTCCTTTAGAAAAAATATTTTAAATTTTCAAAAGTTATGAAGCCTCCACATAAAAAAGCTTTTAAAGTTGCTAAACTTCTACCTAAAGAAGCTTTATAAAATTAAAGCCTTTGCTTATAGAAGCTTTTTTTTTAAGTTGTTGAGCCTCTACCTAAAAGAGCTTTTAAATTTTCAAAAGGTATCAAATCTCTACTTAGAATAGTCTTTTTAAATTTTTAAAAGTTATCAAACCTCTACTTAGAAAAGCCTTTTAACTTTTAAAAAAATTGCCAAACCTTAGCTTAGAGGAGTAAAAAAAACTTTTTGTGTTCCTTTGTCTTTCATATATGTTTGTCCAAACAAAAATAGTTGTCTTTTTGTCTTTACTTTATTCCTGATTCTCAAAAATAAGCAAAGAGGGGCAGCTGTAAACACTCATTTTGTTTGGTTTTGTTTTAACCTAAATGTAATTGTTTTTATTATTATTATTTTTTCCTTTTTGTTTTTGGAATTTTTTTGGTTTGAAAGTCTTTTGGTGCATTAAATGCACTAAAAGCACCCTTGTACCATTATTGCCTACAAGCCATTTTATTTTTGCCTAACTTGGTAGCATAGAATCTAGCTATAAAAAGACTACCAATGGCTTTGAAAACCAATAACAAAGTTGAAAATTTAAGATCTTAAAACCCATAAAATTTGAGATTTAAATCCCAAAAGTTCCATAATTAAAGCTTTTTTCCTACAAAAACAAAAGGATGGGGAACTCAAAAGAGTACAAGGAAACCTAGAAAAAAGAGAGAACACATTTAAAAAAAATCAAAACCTAAAGTACCTAGAAAAAAAAAGTAAGCTCTGAGAAAAAAAAACAAAAAAAAAAACCTTTGGCAGAAACCCAAAAAACTAAAAATTTTTTTCTAGCCTATTAAAAAGCCAAAACAACACAATCAAAAAAGCCACAGCTCCTAAAACAGGGACCTAACTTTAAGAAATAACCATCAACAAAAAAAAAGCAAAAAATTAAAAAAACAATTCTTTCTAGCCAAAAGTTTGAAGGTTAATCTAGAAAATTTGAAGGAGTTTTGGAAGAAAAAGAGGTTAGATTAGGGCATAAGAGGTTAAGAAAAATTTTTAGGGATTTTTTGGAAATTATTTTTAGTCATCAATGATCAGCAACGACGATAACAGTTGCCTAGCAGCGACAGCGATAAAGGCTGGCCATTTTCTGGTAAGGGCTTGGTAGAAAATTTTTTTATCTAAGTTTTTTGCTTTATAGAAAAATGTTGATATGATTTTTTAAAAAATTTAGTTTATATAGAGAAAAAAACCCAAAATGATGCTGTTTGAAGGCTCAGAGGATATGCGTATAGACCCAGATTTGACCTAGGGTCTACACAACCTGACCTATGACCTGCGCCTTCCTTTGACCTGGGATCGATCTAACTAAATTGGATTTGATCCGGAACAAACCTTCCTTGAATTGCTTTAGATCGGCCAAACCACCCTTGAACCATTAAAAAACTATTTCAAATCTACTAAACCGCTCCTGGATTGTTGACTGGCTGTTGATTGACAATTTTTGGTATTTTTTAATTTTTATTTATATTTTATATATTATTTGGATAATATGCATGTTTAAAATTTGAACTTGTTATAATGTAAAATATTTATAAAAAAAAATATTTAAATTAAAATTTATTTACATAATTTTACCTTAAAATTTAACAAACTTTAAGAAAATTTAAAAATATAATAAAATGAATAAATAAAATAGAAGTAAATATTTTTTAAAGAAAATAAATAATAATAATAAATTTTCAAACAATTGTGAACGTGCAACTTAGAAAAGACTTTTTTTTAAATTTTATCATAATGATGATGAATTTAAAAGAAAATTCTAAAAATATTTATTTTGAAACAAAAATAATAATAAAACAAGTAATAAAATTAAATAAAAATAAGATAAATCCAACAATAAAAATCTAGAAAATTACAAACAAGTAATTTTCTACCAAAAATTATTTAGGAATTTTACCAAAATGATGAAAAATTCAAAAAAATAAAATAAAACAACAAAGATCATAAAAAAATAATAAAACAAAAATTAAACTTGGGAATAATGAGAATTGTTTAAATCATGGAATTATACAAAATCACGAAAAGGTGAATAAGAAATCATAAAAGGGTGATTTTTGGTTCTTGTGTGTGAAAATTTATCTAAATTTTATAAAAATGTTGAAAAGATTGTAGAAAATTTTTAAACCAACGATTTACATTTATTCCTAAGTAAAATATATATAAATGTTATAAAATTTCCCAAAATCAAAAGAAATAAGAACAATAATAGGATTTTAAAGAATATTACCAATGAGAAATTTTTTGAAAAAAATAATAAAATAAAAATATTTTTATCTAAATTATTTTAGAATAATGGATAATTTATAATTTAAACCATTTTTAAAATAACAAAAAATGTTCATGAAATTTTAAAGATTATGAATGAGTGATCCTTAGAAGATTTTTTTAAAAAATAAGAAATTTCTAAAATTTGCTGGAATTATAAAAAATTTAAAATATAAAAATTAATAAAATTATAAAAACTTTTCATTAATCCGACAACGAAACCTCTTTAAGGAAACAAATGAATTTCTTGAATACTCTTGAGGTGATAAAAATTTTCTAGAGATTTTACCAAAATCATGAAAAAATCTTACAAATTTTATTGATATTTAAATAATTAAATTAAAAAAAAAAACAAAACAAAAGACCATTTAATTAAAGACTAATGTAGTGCAACACAAAGTTATTTGATACTGTTTTCAAATGGCCATTGTGGAGGTGTTAATATTTTCTTACAAATAACCATATTCCCGAACTTAGCTCTGCAACGTAGACCAAAACTTAACTTTTATATGAAGTCTTAATTGAACTTAGGATTTCTTTAAAATGGGGTAATTTTAACTTAGTAGTCAATCCAACCTCAACAAAAAAAAAATTGGTGGCGATTCTTGACTTTTTATATCTAGCGATCGAATCTTCGGACCGATACATTATGACAGTTTAAAATGTAAGGCATCTTACATTAAATAAAAAATTTTAATTATTGATAAATAAAATTAATTTTTATATTAATTGTATTCATTTTTTAAATAATTATGTTTGAACAAAAATAATTATTATATGACAAATGGTCATAACTATTTAAATATAAATAGATTATTATTTATAAAAATCATGATTATACAAAAAGTTATAACCTTCTGAATAAAAATTTGAGTTTATTCATTTATTATAAATAAATTTTTCAATTTAACTATTTGTATTACTTAAAAGTTTCACTTATAAGTGAAGGAATTGGAATATGGCCATGTGGGTAGTACAAATAACTAAGTTGCCAAACTATCACAAAGCAAAAGCAAATTAATTGAAGCTCAGATACTGTTGTTGTTTACCATTTCAACCACTATGCTGTCTAAAATCTAAATAATATGGTTTTCTAGTGGACCTTGTCTTCAAAACCTTCCCCATATTGTGCTCCGAGATAGAAGAGAGTGTTTGACCAGAAAACACAACCTAAATTAATTTTCTCCCAAACCAAGTGTAGATCTTGTCATACATCAAAAAAGTTCAAAATTAAAAAAATTGTTCTTTTGAGCAATGGTAAGATTTGTCTCTCCATCACTATATTGGTTTTTGGACTAGTTCAATTCTGATCTTGAATTCGGATAAGCTATGCTTTTGCATCATCATCATCATCTGTTATTGCTAATATTGATGTATCTTGCTTTAATTCAACTAAAAATGTATACAATCTCTATAATTGCAAATATATAGAGCAGCAGATTCTTTGGTATATTCAGGAAGGACAAGCCTCAAGTGTTTCAATGTTTTAGAAATATACAAAGGTTCTAGCATATTAGCCATGAGAACCTTTTAGGCGCTTTAACCCAGAAAGGAATACTTTCTTCAGTTTAACTCAAAAGTACATTAGTCGTGAGAACCTTTAGGCACTTTAACCCAGAAAGGAATCGTTTCATCAGTTTAACTCAAAAGTATTGGTTTATGTCTTGAGCTAAAGGAGGACGTTTCATGATATTAGCTCCTGGAATTTCAACTCTGTGTGTGTGTGTGTGTATGTAATAGTGTTGCATACTAGACATAATAATGCTTGTGCTGTAAGTGTAACAGTGTGCACTACTCGTTCCAGATTCACTTTGTTCTTCTAGTTAGCCGCCAAGGAAAGGTCAGGTTGACCAAGTGGTATTCACCTTATTCCCAGAAGGAGAGAAGTAAGGTATTTGCAAAGTTACAAAGTTTTGCTCAACTGATCATAAACAATGGTAATGGAAATTAATAGAAGCAAATCTCGTTTTGCTAGCTTTCTCATTCACTGATGCTCCCACTACTTTACTTCTTTTAAACTAGCAGCATATTGCACATGGCGGATCGATACAAATAAAAGTGCTTTGTGAAGATCCATATATAGCTGAATATCTTATTTCGTATTTGATACATCATATATATATATATATATATATATATATATATGCTCATAAATTATAGAAATTCTTCTTGCTGGTGTGCACTCATCCTCCTGTGATCCTCTCTTCTTTGGGTCGTTAAACTTCTGTGGATTGATGTTCACTTTGTAAAGGTAATCCGGGAGCTTAGTGGCATAATACTCACTCGAGGCCCCAAGCTGTGCAACTTTGTAGAGTGGAGGGGCTTCAAAGTTGTCTATAAAAGGTAATATCAATATTTCTATGTATATATATAAATGGCTAATCATGAATATTTGAACTTCACAAAATTAACTACAATCAATTTTTTTGCTTTTCTTCTTCTTTTCACTTAATTACATGCATCTAACCAATTTAACTGTACGGATTTCACGTTCAGATATGCAGGTCTCTACTTTTGCATGTGCATTAACCAAGATGACAATGAACTGGAGATTCTTGACATAATTCACCATTATGTTGAGATACTGGACCGCTATTTTGGCAGTGTGAGCCTGCTAAACCTTGAAGTAATTGAAGAAACTTGAATGTTCCAATTGCTAAAGCTCATCTTTAATTGCATTAATATATCTTTTACTGTTTCTACTTTTGCTTAGGTATGTGAACTGGACTTGATCTTTAATTTCCATAAGGTATACTTTTTTTTTCCCCTAAATCTGCTTTATGTTTGATCCTTAGCTATTCATTTGGTTTCTAAAAGTTATATTTCTGGAGAACATTACTAGCTATCTTATGAGCATCTACACACCTGTTGGTTGAATGGTGGGAGAGAATTTGCGTTTATTGTTATGAATTCTGTGGATTACGCAATTTAAGGATATATCACGCAAAAGAATTGGGAACATTTTCCTTGTTCTGCAATCTCCATGAATTAATTCTAGCAAACCTTTGATTTTGCAATTTGTATATAATAATAGATTAATTACAATGCTAAATTAGAGGTTGATCAACAAAGTGGAAATATGTGACAAGGGGAAGATTGTTTGCACATGGAAATAAATACGTATCTGCTCCTATCTTTAATTGAATCAGTTAGCATTTACGTTTGTCTAGTTTAAGGCATATTGCTGCTGCTTTAAGGAATGAGTATGAGAATCCTTGAAGGCGTCAGCTAATAGTAATTAAGAGAATAGTGCAATGTTAGTAGTAGATAGGTGAATAAAAATACCCCATATATAGGGCTTTATATCTATCTAGCTAGGCGCATATATATATATATATATATATGAAACTGCTTCCTTCCTTGTGTTCTTAGACGTAGCTCACTTGGTTAACTTTTGCAGGGTGGAGAAGGTAAAATGATGTTTTAGGCATTACACTGATTGGATTTTGTTAGATCTAATGTTTGAAGAGATGTTTTTCATTGACTGCATTATTTCCCAATTTGTCAGTCATCGAGCCGGGGCTAAAAGTCATTCCAGTCTCTGACCATCAAGTTGCTATTCCTATAGGCTTATTACGTATTGGATGAGCTTTTAATTGCTGGTGAACTTCAAGAATCAAGCAAGAGAACAGTCTTACGTTTGGTAGATGCACAGGTACGTACATACGTTGTTAACCAGAATCGCTCCCCTATGCATAGATGCATCTAAATCAAGAACAATCAGATATCTGACGCCTTGATTTTGAAATGCAGGATTCAATAGTGGAGGTTGCAAAAGAGCAGGCCAGCTTAGTGGGCAATATAATTGCACAGGCCACCAAATAGCAAGGATACCATATCATACATGCACATGCAACTGGAAATCAAGCATCAAAATTTTCATGTTACATTTGATTCAAAATTTGTTATTCTTTGATGCTTGAAGTTGAAACCTCTTTTCTGTGAGCTTAATTTTATATATATAGATATATATATAATTTTTGAATTGAAAGAAATTTTTTGTTATTTGGATGAATTAATAAAAAATATTTTCGTTGTTTGGTTGTTTTTTAAAAAATTTGTTATTTTAAATAATATTAATATAACTATTAAAATATAAAAAATATTTTAAATAAAACTATTTATTATTCTTTATATTATTTATTAATACATTATAATATTATTTATTAATAATATTTATTAATAATATATTATTTATTCATATATTATTACAATATTTATTATTGTAATATTTATTAAAATATTAACAATATATTATTTGTTAATATATTATAATATTATTTATTAATATATGATTTAATAATAAAATATTATTTATTTATTAATATAATCTTATTTATTAATATTAATATAGTAGTGTATATTTATTTATAATAATGTTTATTAATATATTATTTATTAATATTATGTTATTTATTAATATATAATCATATTATTTATGAATATATTATAATATTATTTATTAATATTTTTATTAATATTTTATTTTAATAGTATATTATTTATTTATATAATATTATTTATATGTTAATATAGTATTATTTATAAGTAAAATTATACTTAAAAATATTAATAAATAGTTATATTTAATTTTTTAAAAATATATATATATTTTTTAAATTCGAAGATAATTTTTTAAAAAATTATCTCATTTTTCATTGATGAATAAATCATTTTCCATTATCCATATGGCGCCGGTTCAAAAGCTCCATTACATCAGTTCAGTGAGCCAACTCGTCCGATAACACCATCCCAAGCTAATATTATCAAATTGATACCAGAAAAGGGAATACAGCATTTAACTTAACACCAATTAGTATGTCAGATACTACATTTCTATTTCTTGGTTTCTGATGATCTCTGTACTGAACTCGGTCGAACAAAGGTCAATCGATCTTGCATTTTCTGAGGCACACCCGGCAGACTAATATTACTGCACAAATTAGTCCCATCAAAGCAAGAAGCAAAACTGCAACAATGGGTAAAAAGGAAATCCATAATAATAAAATGGTATATAGACAGAAATATAGAAATCAATACTGTTAGAAATCTAGGATATACATGAATTAATGCAATCAAAACCATCAGCATGAATAGAGGAAAATACCTTTTCTTTATTTTGTAATAAAAAAAAGTACTTCTGGAAATTAGAAGATAGTGCACCTATGGGAATGTATTCTAAACTTGCTGTAAAGTAATTAGTGATCATATGGTAAGCTACGTGATCAAACACCTAAATGTAGTTCTTGGGATTTAATATCTAAAAGAAGAGAACTATGTGCCAGACTTTTTCATCGTTTCTGCACTTCTTAGATGGTAGGTTCATTTTGCACTACTGCACGTATTTCCCACGTTTCACTATCCTGTTTCCTCCAAGACATTTTGTGTGCTATAAATTTTTTTAATGCTACTAAAATGGAAGAAAAAACAAGGCTGGACAGATACAATAAGGAAACCATAAGCATCAAGAACTACTTACAAGCTAAAACAGAGTAAACCAGAATAGCCAAGCGGTATCTAACAATCCATGGCAACATCACTTCCAGAGAGCAGTGTCTCCGATCTTGTCCTGCTTTAATTGTAGAATTCCATGCCTGCAATTCTGATAATGAAATATCTACACCAGTCACAGGAAGTCCATTTATACCGCGTACTTGAATTTTTAAGTTCACAGGAAATGCATCCCAATCGATCTCAATTGCTCCAAAATTTGGTTCGCCTATAGAATCCAAAAACATGCAAACTTCATCATGCGTTTACATCTAAAAATTGAAAAAGAAGGCAGATGACAAACATACCATATGTGCATGACCTATATCTGCAATTGCGGCTCATAACTCTCATTGTACTAGGAGTAAACCATGCCAAAAATCTTACTATGAAATACAATGGCGATGGGAGCACCTTCTCAACAGCTTGGGTTAGCCCACTTGAGGTAATGTCATACAAGGGATATCCAGCAGCACAGTCATATCGTGTGATTTCTCCAAAATGAACATCTCCACTTATGAAGAAAACTCCATCTCTCTGCTCTAGAAAAGAACCAATAAATGGCAAATTAATGTTTATACTAACCTCTCCTCAGACCAGAATAGGAAAAAAATGGGATGGGAAGTATGGGTGAGAAAGAACTGAGAAAATTAAAAACCGATTCAAAACCGTAGTATTTAGTTTAATTCAGTTTAGTTTTTTTCTTATTCAATTTAAATTAAGTTCAGATATTAAACATATATATTAGATTTAGTCTGGGAAGTGAAAAACAAAAAAAAAAAAGATCGAATTATATATTTTATTAGTTTTTATGTATATTTTAAAATTTTATAATATAAACTAATTATTTTATATTTAAATTTATTTAAATATATAAAAAATCATATTAAAATAATATATATAATTTTAAAACTGATGAATTAAATTAAATTGAATCGATAAAATTCAATTTAAATTTAAATTTTAAAAATATATAATACTTTGCATTATCTGAAAAATTGAACTGAACCTTAATGGGAAGAATATCAAACATATCACTGTTTATATAAAGCAGTTTAGTTGAAATTGAGGTGCATGAAAAAAACGTGTTGATGATTATTACCTTACTATCTATAATCAACTTAAAAAGGCGATCCCTCTCTCTTGGAAAACGTCCCCAAGACTCCATATAAAACAAGGGGCCAGTTGCAGCAGAAAGATTTGATATAACCTGAATTAGTGGAAAATAAAATCACTAAGTCATGCAGAGTATCAGAAACTGGAAAAACAAAGTAGGTACGAAAATGCAAATGATAATCTGTTCCAGAGAAGTTAAAGAGAACAATCTTAAGCAAAGAGTCATAAAATCATCTCTGATTAAGGTTAGGGCACATTATTTAATATCATGAATAATTCTTAAATTATAGTGAAATGTTTAATATGATTTTTAAATATTAAAAATCTCCAATGTGATACTTGAACTATAAATATGTTAATTAATGTGGTACTAGGAGGATTATATGTTTGTCATGTGTTACCATTTGAAGTTAATCATATGAAAGGTGATACCATATTAGTTAATAAAATTATAATTCAAGTATCACATTGAACATTTAATTATAATTTAAGAGTCATTCATGACATTAACTCAATACTGATAAATCTATCACCCAATAAGCATATTTCACACAAAAATGTGCTGTTAACAATGGCACAGAGAGAGACCAAAGAGCTACAGACCGTTGACAAAATGAATGTTTTCTAACAAGGAGCTCATTTACAACAATGAAATATCCAATGAAAAGATTCAGATATAAAACTTCAGAATTGAAGTAAATATTTAAAATACCTGAACGGAAGAGCCAATTATGGTAATGGTTGATGGCGGACCCCTCAACTCTTTCCCTAACCATGACCATTGTGAAGCCCCCAAAATTGTACCATCACTAGACAGAGGATCTCTGTGATACCGAGTATCTAAAAGGATAATCTAAGGAAGCAAGTTTACCACAATTAGTAGAAGTCTATGTGTAAGTGCAGAATCGTTATCTTGGCAGAAAGAGAAGGAGAGAAAAAATTCTCAGTCATGGCAAAGAGAAAACATGTCACCCTCTAGAGTTTAACTTTAATACATTGGTAAAGAAAAGACAATAGTTGGAAAGCATGTTGTGGTTATACCTTGACTTGTTTACCTGGAGGACCAAATGTATAAGATGCGTAAACACCAGCCTGCTTGCGCCTACAATGTGAAAGCCATGAAGATGAGAGTAGATAAGAGAACCAATAATCCAGATTAAGTTAGATGAAAAGCAATGAAAAGTAGCAGGGTAGAAGGGGTGAGGGCAAAGGCGACCTAGGACTGTCTTGGGGTTCATCTAAGAAATCAAGAAGAAGCCGCTGATTAGTAGTTTTAGCAGGAAATTCTTTGCCAGCATCATTGAGTCCATAATCATGATCATCCCAAGTACCAATGACCTACAGCAATAGACATAGATTATGATTTTAAGTATTAGTGTGGATATAAGAAAGAAGATAGGGAGTAGTGAGTTTTACCTTAGCATTGGCGCGAAGACGAGAATAACCGGGAATGTTCTTAGCTATGTTGTATCTGGAGAGCATTTGGGAGTGAGAGGAAGGGACGAACCTGGGAACATTCTTCCATGGGCCTATCGTCCTTTCCTTTCCCAGAATCTTGAAAGGCCGTCTAATGTCTCCATATATGTTGTCACCCAGCCATATGAATACTTGGGGATCAAACTTGTTAATGGCGTCCCAAATGGGCTAACATGAACAATAATAATAATCATACTACAATTCCTTTACTATGATAATTAAGTTGAGGATCAAACTAACGGAATTAGGATTTAGGGTTTATGATGATAATAATAATAATAATAATAATAATAATAAAGAAAAGAACCTGAGGAGCGCTTTGGTTGGCACAAGATCCGAAAGCAATACGAGAGAGCAGATGATGATCGGAGTATGAAGCGGCGCTTGCTATTAAGACCTGCATAACTCCTGCTATCACTGCTACTAGCCTCTCCATTACTTTTTCTTTTCTTTCTTTCTTTCAAATAAAATTATTAGCAGTATTATCGACTAACCATTGGAATCCTCTGGCAGAAATCAGAGGAGAAACGAATCCACACTCACCGATCACGCTGTTGACGTCAATCTAAAAACGCTTAACACTTTGCCTCAATAATCATAATTAGTTACCCCACCTGTGTATGCTGCGACTCAAATTATACAAAGCAAACAAATTCCAGTTGCACGTGTGACTGTGTAAAAGTGAAACATTGAGAACGCATTTTCGTTTCATTAATTTTCATTAATTTTGCTATAATATTTGGAGGGTGGAAAGAGCTAGTTTAACTTTAATAGTGTGATTCACTTGCAAAATTTTAAGAATTTTAGTTTATGTCAAAAATACATTTAAATTTTTAGATAAAGTTGTAAATTAAAATTTGTTACATTTTCATTTTACTCTTTAATAATTAAAAATTAAAAAAAATTGTATTATTTTTATTATAATTAACAAAAATATCTCTCTATTTTATTTATTTTTATTTAAAAATTTATGATTTAATTTAATAAAGTAGATTATTTCTATTTTATTTATTAAAATTATGTAAAAAATATCAAATAACTTTTTTAATATTTTATAACACTTCTGTATTAAATTTATCAAATACACTTTTAATTTCTCTTATAATATTTTTATAATAACTCTACTTCAATAACATTTTTCATAAAAATTTAATTGGACCAAATAAACCGCAACGAAAAACATGATACATTACATAGCATCACCAAAAAAGAAAAAATGTAGTCTAAACTAGCATTTCCCACTTTAAATATCTAACCTCTATTTTCATTTTGTATGTATATATATATTTGTTTGTTTTCATTTTAATGCAAAAAAAAAAAAAAGCAAGTTTGTGGTTATCTCACAAAGGCCGAACTAATGGCAATTGGCATTTGCCAAGAATGAAAAGCCAAGGTGGGCAAACGACAGCCACTGATAAGCTGAGGCTGGTAGCCGCAAGCCCCCAACCACACACATTGAAATAGAATTCAATTTACAAAATGGCCCATACAAATATGGATGAGTATATTATACTATTATTAGTATATATAGAAGAGCCGGTTTGCAAGAGCGTTATTATAATTGCCTCCGCCAGGTCTGCCTTATGGGTCTGGGTCTGGGTCTGGGTCTGGGTCTGGGTCTGGGCCTGGGCTGTTCAGCACAATAACTAGTATGTTAGAAGTTAGGACTTTTAGAACCATTGAGAGAAGATGTTGATGCAAAGCTCAGCGATATTTTCAACAAAGCCAGCGTGGGCTCCCACTCCCCGCGGGGTAAAATCACTGTACGGCACATCCTCGGACGATTCCAATTCCATGGCTGCTACCGTCCCCGGCCCCAAGTGGGCTCAGAAGACCATAACTCTTCCTCCTCACCACCGAGGCTGCCATCTCGTTACCTCTCAGGTAACCAACATGTTTACTCTTGTTGCTTGACAATTCCATTTTTTCCTAAGGTTTTCGGGGCCTTTCTTGACTTTTCTCTTGGGATCAGATATTGAACCAAATTAGACCAGATTTATCAGAATTCAAGTGTGGCCTTGCTCATCTCTTCCGTGAGTCTTATTGACTTTCCACTTTACTCGTTTCCCCCTCTCTGTACAATTATATATATATATATATATATATATAATGATTTAACCAATTCCAGTGCAACATACAAGCGCTTCTCTTACTATCAATGAGAATTATGACTCGGATGTTCGTGACGACACCGAGACATTCCTCAACAAAATAGTTCCAGAGGTAAATTTTCTTCATTACATTTGCTCCAAGGGAAAGGAAGGCAGAATGCAGTGGTTTTTTTTTTATCTTTTAAAGTTGTGCTTGAAATTTCAATGTCCATTTTCCAGGGAAGATCTGCGCCTTGGAAGCATACGCTTGAAGGTTTGTTTCAGTTCCTATTCATAAATTCAGACGTCTTAATTTTTCAGCTATACTAATATAACATGAATCCTGCTCCTTCCCTGTCAGTTTGTCAATATTTGATGATTCATTTTAACTTTTGCAGGCCCTGATGACATGCCAGCCCATATCAAATCATCAATGTTTGGCTGCGCGCTCACGTGTGTATATTTCAGTTTGATAAGATGTTCACTACTTTTCTATTTACTGCAAAAGATTAAAGATTTGGTCTTCAGTCTCGATTTCACCCCTTCTTCATGTAATTCTACAGGATTCCTATTACAGATGGACAGCTTAACATGGGAACTTGGCAGGTAGATAACAGCCTTTTAACTTTTCAAACTACTTGAAATTCCTTTCCTTTTTTTAATGGTCAATAGCTACTTTTCACATATGTCGTTTCATGATTAATACTTCACTAAACCGTTTTGCAAGATTGATGCTTAATTAGTTTATTCTAAATGTTCAAGCTGTTATTGGAATTTTCTTGGATTATCACCTGCTTCATTTGTATCCAGCATAGTAAGGCTGAAAAAATGCATCATACTTGCCAAAGGTTTTGTATTATTTATTTATTTGCTGAAGCAATTTCAATTCTTGTTGTACTTCATAAAGTCATTATTATGAAACTAAAAGCAAGGCAATAGATGGTGGTGAATAGATTTCTTTGTAGTAGAACATGTCCCTAAAATAATTTCCGACGGTAAATATTTTCATACCGGTCACATTGTTCCAAACTAGAATTAGCAAATGCAAATCATCTAGACAAACTCCAATGATAATAATAATCTGTTTTGAATAAAATATCGTATACACTAAAAGTACACTCTTTGGGAAGATATAAAGGATATGATTTTAGCAGTTTAGGCCCATCATTGATTGAATCTATTACATGGTTGTTGATGGCTTGAGTTCAAGTATCTCAATGTACCCTTGTTTGCTCATATATATTAATATAAGTAATAAATGTTGCTGAAGCTAAAACTTTTTTCAGAAATAATTTGTAGCAAACACAAAGCTTCTTGTCATGCTTGGAATCATAATGATACTGATTGTCCTGAAGATGGATTCTAGTTCCTAGTATGTGCTTGTAGATGTTTATGGTCCTTTCTGTATGTACCAGATAAGCAAAATGAACAAGTCAACAATGTGGTGTTATTGTATAACCTCTCTCTCTCTCTCTCTCTCTCTCTCTCTCTCTCTCTCTCTCTCTCTCTCTCTTCTGCAAGGATTGGATTATAAAGTGAATGAGCCAACAGTGTGGCACTGTGACATGACTTTCTATCCATCCTCATTCTGCCTCACACGCACATAACAACCCTTTCAACCTTAGCTAATATAATATCAGAATACTGAAAATGATCATCCAACTGTCACTATGGTCTTTATCAGCTTTACTTGTCTATATGCACTGAGAACATGAATGTTCTCATGCATTGCTTCTCTTGCTTTGAATGCCCTTGATTAATTTACTCTGTGATTGGTAGGACTTGGGCTACATCATGTTTGAATTTTCCTCACTGTTTTCCCACTTAACAAAATGTGCTATTTATCTTTCTCACTATTTTGCTTTAGGGAATTTGGCTTTGTGAACACCGCAATGCTCCAACAGCTCGTAGAGTAGTGGTGACCCTCAATGGGATTGGCATCTGAGGTCCTTAATATGGAGATACTCCGTCTCCTTGATCTGTGTAAGAGTATTGTACTTAAAGATGGTTTCACAATGAGATCTGTTTTATTTGTTTTTCTACTTGACAAAGTGTGCAATTTATTTTTATCACTGTTTTGCTGCAGGGATTTTGGCTTTGTGAACACCGGGATGCTCCAACAGTTGGTAATGTGTTGTTGATCCTCAATGGCATCTGAGGTCCTAAATATGGAGATACTCTTTTTCCTTGATCTGTGTAACAGTATTCTACTTAAAGTTGGTTTCATAATGAGATCTGTTTTATTTGTTGATGGGATGTTAGTATGGCTGTGTATTCCAGTTTTTATTCAGGATTTGGTTCCTGTGGTTTACGAATATTAGTTGAATTCTATAAATTGGAAGTGTTTTTTTGTCGAATGACCATTGACAGTAAGATGCTATACATCGGACCATAAGTTTCTAACTAAAATGGATTGACACTTGTTTGATACATGGTTAATGAGAAAGTTGCAATCTGACTGGAAATGGAACAACAATTGGCGCTGTAATTACTTAGGTTTTTGTTTCGTGTGGTTAATATTTTGCGATTTCTTGCATCTTTTTAATAAAAAAGTAAAAGCTAATAGGGGTAAATGGTAAATAAAACGGAGTTTAGCAACGTAGCACTGTGCTTGTACGGCAATGCAAATGAACTGAAGTGTGAAATGTCTGAACAAAGGAAGTTTCGTTACACTCGGAATATTTGATGTCTCACGGGAAATACTTGGTTTTTTTCCATACTGGCAGGGGTTATGCACCCCGATCTCTCTCTTACATACAATCCAAAAGTTTTCGGCGTAAATAAATAGAGTTTTTTTATAAATTATTCGTAAAGATAGTTAATTTTTATTTATTTATGTTTGTTTATTAAATTTAATAAATAATTTTAAATAATAATTTTATATTCATTTATTAAATGAATTGAATACAAATAAAGATTTGTTTAATTAATTTATATTCATGAATAAATTTATTTAAAGTTCATTTAAAATTTATTTTTTTATTATTCGTTTATAATAATATTAATAAAATTATATTTTTATCTTTTATTTTAATTTTATTTTAAATTTTGTTTATATTTATTTAAATTCATTTATATTTGTTTAAAAATTATTTGTTATAAATTTTTTATTATTCATAAATATGTTCGTAAATATATTTATTTAATATTTATAAATGAACTTATTAAATTTAATTGAATTAAATATTAATTGAATTTGAATAATTTACTGTTTAGACGAATAGAATATAAATAAATAAAATAATATTTTTATTAAATACAAATAAAATACGAATATTTCTAAAAATAAACAAACAAATTATAGATATTCCTGCTTCTAGATTTGTTTCGTTTAGAATCCTCCCAAAAGCCTCCCTCAGCTCCTTGCTCCTCTCCTCCTCAGTTGAGTCTCTACCCTCCATCAGCTACTGAAATTCATGGAACCCCAGCATCCCGTTTCAGTCCAAGTCTGTTGACGCAATGGCTCCTTTGACTTCGTCCATAGACAGGTGCCCTCCCACTGTTCTTACACACCTCTGCAATTCTTCCGTTGATAGTTTTCCATCACCGTTTTCGTCAAAGAAATCAAACACCATTTGGAGGTCGGAGCTGGCCTCGCTGCTGTTACTGCAGCAGCTGTTGCATCTTCAGAATCTGACTTGGTTCTTGGGAATATTTTCCTCCGCAATCTAGCGAGTAATGATTTTAGCAGTGAGTTGCTACTAGCGGTAGTACGTAGTAGTTGTAGGAATGAAATCACCATTGGATTTCATTGTGAAAGCGTTCATTTGTTCGATCTGTCTCGGTTTTGCCCCGTGCTGTAGGTGAATTGGTGAAAGGCAAAAAGGGACAGGTTGTAAGCGTAGTAGTTCGCACTTGGTAGATTGTGAATTGACATGGCAACTGGGAGGAATGAAAGGGTACATATAGCTTCAGACTTGGATATGTATGTAATATAGAAGAAACAAAGATGAAGATACTTTAACCCTTTTAATAATCTATGAATTCTAGTAAGAGGCAGAGTATATCACGAATGTAAGACTTGGTGGAAGCTTTTGGGAGATTGGATATCAGATATGTTTTACAGGTTGAGACTAGAGGGAACAGAAAAGGGCTTTCAATTCCATCATTGTTGCACTAGTACTATAAAAAACCGGTAAAAGTAATGGGATTGTTTTTTTATCCTTTTGTTAGTTGGCTTCGGCCGGTTGTTTCCACGTTTGCAAAGACCGCACAGTAGCGGGTGTAGGGAAGCTTCCTTGGGCCCGGGCTCCGAGTTCGGAGTCAGAGGGCAGCGGAGACTTTTTATAGGCAATTTTGTAAATTTCTCTTTCTTTTCCTTCTCTGGTTCCATTTATCAATAAAATTAATTTTTTTATAGTAAAAATATACTCTTTTTATCCTATTTTCTTTATTTATTTTACCTTTTTGGAATATTTTAAAATTATATCTTTTTTTAATATTGAAAATTATTATTTTTATGAATTTTTTTATTTTTTGACATTAAAAATAAAAAAATTTTAAATTTTAATATTAAATACATTAAGAATAAATTTTTTAAAATTTTGTGAAAATCATGACAAAAAATTTTAGAATAGGAGTATTATTATTATTATTATTATTATTATTATTATTTAAAACATATAAAATGTAAAAGAAAATTTTGAACTTCAAAATCTACCTAAAAAAAATAACAATTGCAAAATAAAACCTAAATTATCATTTTTACGGATGAAGCATCTCGATTGTGATGTCAGCATGAATTTTTCTTTCATGTGTATGATATTTGTTAAAGGCATATGATAGTTAAAAGGGTATAGTGATTTTTTCTTATCTCAAAGCTTTCAGTAAACAATCAAAGGTATTTTATTCATTTGTGCTGACCTGACATGTCAGGTCGATTTAACATAATTAGTGCCACATTAGCTTGGTCCTATCCCCTTATGGTTTCCCTCAGCTTACCTATAAATATGAAAGTTAAACACCTTGACGCCAAGTTCATCCCATTCATCTCCCTCTTTCCTTCATATTTTCTTACTTTTTTTCTAACCTAATCTTTATTGACTTAAGCGTTGAAATGCAAACACAAAAAACACCTATTGCTTTTGCCTCTAACTGTCTTCCCCTTTACATTTACAGGAATACTTTCAGATCGAAGCTCAGCACAAACATTTAGCATGCCAGGTAGAAGAAATCTTATATTAGCTGAGCATAAAATAATACCACCAAGAAAAAAAAACCTAAAAGGAAGGAGAGGTAGCCGCCTCAGCTGAAACAGAAACTCACCATAGCTAGCATTATGTCTACCGAGCTTAACCACAAGTAAGATCGATCATGGAGCAATTTCAAGCCCTAACTGAACAAATACAAGCTTTCAAGCAGATGCTACAAACTATAACCCCACCACAAGTCTCCAAAATACTGGATTTAGTCATACCTAACCGAAAAGCCATTGTTGGACAATTGAGCTACAAAGAGGTGAAAACCTCATTGGCCTTAAGAGAAGAAGAACACACAAACCTAACTTATCACCACCTAGCCATAATTCTACACATGCCATAACCCAAAAATCCAAACAAACAGACCATAAACTTCAACTGAATAGAGATCTAAAAGTTCAAATGCAAGCCATAAAAAAAGTGCTAAAAACGAAAATAGTGGCATTTAAGAATGAGCTCAAGTTTCTGGAGACCTCACCTTTTACTGAAGAAATTAACAGAGCCATGCTTTTCAAAAGATATAAAATGCCCACCTTAGAGACATACGATGGTACTTTTGATCCCTTTGATCATTTAAAACTTTATAGAACTAACATGATAATACAGAAGGCAAACGAGGCTCTAATGTGCAAAGATCTAACCACTACGTTAAAAGGCATAGCTCAATCTTGGTACAGTAGTTTGGAGCTAAGGTCGATCACTACATTCAAAAAGCTCAGTCACTCATTCTTGTCCCAATTTGTGAGTAGCCAAAGAGCTTTGAAAATGACTCTGAGCTTAAAGTCAATTCACTAAGGGTGAAATGAAACTCTAAAAAGCTATGTCACATATTTTAACGTAGAAGCTATACAGGTTAAAGACCTAAAATAGATGGTTGTTATTACCGTATTGACAAATGGACTTAACGATAAGGAGTACCACTTAAAGCTGACATTGTCATTGAAACCACCAAAAACTTTAGTCGACGTCCTGCTAATAGCAGAGAAATACATCAATACTAAAAGTACAATGAAAACAAACCAAGGTGAGAGGCTCATCCCCCATTTCAATGATCGAAATGAGAGAGGCTCATCCCTCTTCCTCGATCACAAAAAAGGTAAGAAATTTTACGATCCTCCCCCAAAAGGAAGACAACATAAGGTTAAAAGTCCTAGTAGAGAAAGAAGCTACACTACATTGAATACCTCTTATGAGAGGATTTTGATGCAAATTAAAAAAAAAATTTAACCTCAGATGGCATAAGCCACTAAGACAAAACACAAGGTAGGATTTAACAAAAAAATGTGCCTTTCACAAAGATATCGCCCATAATATGAAAAATTATGTCAACCTGGAAAATGAGATTGACCTCTAATAAAATAAGGCCAATTGAAGAGATTTGTAAGACATAAAAGACAAGACCAATACAGAATGGACTACAAATAAAACCATAAAATACCCACTCAAGGTAGAAAAAAAAGAGTAAAGCAAGAAAGAATGGATGCTCTAGGAGATGCTTGAAGAGAAGAACCAAATCAAGAAGAGGATCGAGCTAACAATAGCTAGCCAATCGCCAAGGTGATTAACGTGATCACAGGAGGTAGCTATACTTCGATGAAAAAAATGTTTAACTCGGGCATGATAATGGCAGTAGGCTTCTTGGCCAAAAAAGAAAAAGATTAAAGATACAAACCGATCTCATTTAGCTCGAAAGATTTGAAAGAAATTCAATGCCCACACGATGATGTCATAGTGATCACAGCCTTAATGTATAACTATGTGGTCAAAATAATCCTATTGATAATGGGAGTTTGATGATGTCATTTACTATGACTGTTTGTAGAAAATAGGGATTGATGAAAATCAGTTAAAATTGATCACCATTACATTAGCAGGGTTTAAGAATGAGCAGGTGCCTGTAAAAAGAACTATTAAGCTCTCAATCTTTTTAGGGACTGAACCGAAAACAATTACCTTAGTTGTAGAATTCATGGTAATGGATGTCTCATCTGCCTATAACATGATATTAGACTGACCTAGCTAGTCTGTTATGTGGCTTATAGGCTCAACTCCCCATTTGAAAGTGAAATTCTTAATACCTATAGGAGTTGGAGAAGTTCAATGAGACTAATCCATGGTACGACAATATTATGTCATAACAATAAAGGGTAGGACTGGGAAGCAAACAAGTAGCTTGATCGACACTAAGGT